TGTGTGTGGAAGGAACCCTCCTACATTGTTGGTGGGAATGTAAACTAGCACAACCACTATGGAAATAAGTATGGAATTCCCCAAAGAATTAGAAATTTCATTTGATCCAGCTTTCCCCTTCTAGATATCCTTCAGAAAGTGTTAAAGATATAATATTATAATGCTACATGCATACCCATGTTGATAGCATCACAACTCATAACAGCTAAATCTTGAAAGTGGCCTGTATGTCCACAAACAGATGAATGGATAAAGAAAAAGTGGTGTATACACATAATGGAGTACTATTCAAGCATAAATAAGGATAAATTTGAGTCATTTGTAGGAAAATAATCTTGAGACCATAATCTTAAGTGAAATCTGACTCACAAGATCAAATATCACATGGTTTTTCTTATATGTATAATCCAAAGTATAAATAATTCAGAAGAAAATAAATGATAGCTTATAGGAAACAAGAAGCAAATGGGAAGGGATGTAGGGAAGAGGGGGAGGGGGAGGGGAGGGGAAAGGGATGTAGAAGGATTGAGGTGTGATGTGTATGTGTACCAGCCCTCCAAGAGGAAGATATTCATTATGTGTCACACATGTATACTAATAAAAAATACATAGTATCCCTTTGGGGTAGGAATTAGGGTTTGCACAACTCAACTTTCTCATCTATTGATATATTTATTCTTCTCTTTTTTCATTTTTTAAGCCAAAGAGATTAACAGACACTTTAATTCCTGAAGAATTTCATATTGTGTCAAATACAGGAGTTTCAGGTTTGGAGTGCTACGATGAGTGTGTATATGACACACATCAAATACCTGACATGTTGAAGTATTTTCTCCTTCCCATGCCTAGAAAAACCTGGGGACAGCACAGGTGTATCCTGGTGTAATGAGAAAACGCAGGGTAGCAGCCCTAATATAATTTAAAAAGCTAATGAAGACTTCATGGTTTGGGATTTTAGTAATTAAATGACTAAATTGTTCTCTGTTCCTTTCTGCAGTTTTAAATTTAAATTTTAAAAACTGGGACTTTGTTCCAAATATTGACTGTATCTTTTAAGTATGGGTTGTACATGGTCATAACCATGCAGACAAAGGAAAGTAGCCCTGTGAGTCAGAATCGCAGACTGCAGACTTGTCATCTCATTGTCTTTGATTTTCTGTTTATGGGATTGAAAATGAGATCTTGGTTATATTTTCTGAGACAACATTTGAATGTTTCATAGTTTTGTTTTTCTTTTTGTTTTTTTTTTGGTACCGGGCATCGAACTCAGGTCCTTGTGCTTGTGAGGCAGGTGGTAGGACCACTAAGCTAAATCCCCATCCCTGAATGTTTCATAGTTTAAAAAAGAACTTGGGATTTTTGTTTGTTTTTTCTTTCTGAGACAGGATCTCGCTATGTAGTTTAGGCTGGCCTTGAACTCACCAAATGCCCTTGAGCTTTTGGCAATTCTCTTGGCTCAGCCTCTTGGGTGTTGGAATTATAGGCATGTGCCACCACACCTGGCTATAAAACAACTAGAACTTTGGACTAAGGTTTTATAATAAAGCATGGAGAAGCTGCTGTTCCTTGTTTGTTATGTAGTATGTACGTTATATGGCATTTCTTTGTGAGAGTGTTTCAAACAACAGTTGGCCAAAGACAACTAAATGGAACTCATTTTTAGGGGTATTTTTAGATTTTAATGTAATTCCAAACTCATGAAAAAGTTGTAAAAACAGGACAAGGAATTCCAATATACCTTCTTTCCTGATTCAGAATGTTTATTATATTTGGCCTCATTTGCTTTTACACACACACACACACACACACACACACGAATGTAAAACTATTTAAGAGTAAATTTGAGGGCTGAGGGTTTAGCTCAGTGGTTACACCGCCTGTACCACAAGTGCAAGGACCCGAGTTTGATCCCCAGTACCAAAAAAAAAAAAGAGTAAATTTAAGACATCATATTCCTGTACTACCAAATAATGAAATGTATATTTCCTGGAAACCCATTAACTATGGATCTTTGGATGACTTTTTTAAGCTACATCTTTTTAAAAAATATTTATTAGCTGGTAGTTTACCCTCTAGACTCATTGATTTCTGTTATATTTCATGGTTTTTTTAGTAGCTCTTGTACTATGTGACATTGTAAATGTCACATTTATTTAACAATTTTTAAAATTATTGTATATTTTTAATATAGAACAATGATGTTTATTTTGGGGAATTGGTACATGCATATAACATATGTTGATTTTCAATCCCTTTCCTCCTGTTTTCCCTTTTCTCCCTACTCCCCATCACCTTCCCCATTTCCAAGAGTCTACCTTCTAGTTTCCTATCATCTCTCCTTTATTAGTTTAGTTATTTTTGAGATAGGGTCTCATCATGTAGTTCAGGCTGGCCTTGAACTCACTATATGTAGCCCAGGATGGCCTCAAACTCATGGCAATCCTCCTGCCTCAGCCTCCCAAGTGCTGGAATTATAGGCATGTGCCGCTACACCCAGCCTGAGTCTG